CTTCTGGAGCTTCTGCTTCAGATCCTTCTGGAGCTTCTGCTTCAGAATCTTCTGGAGGCTACGCTCAGGATCTTCTGTTGGCAGCAATCAGAATCTTCTAATGGATGCATCTGGCGCTTCAGAGTCTAGCAAGTTTCTTATGTTCAATTCTGATTTGCTTCTGGAGTGTTAATTCCTTTACTATCTGCAGTAAAAACTCTCAAGTAAATTTTAGAGTATAGAATTCTTAATTACAAAATTTCATAATAGTTATCATCAAAACATAGAGATATTAATAAGAACCAATCTGTGTTCTAACAGCTACACCAAATGACAACTCGACTACACAGTCTCCTTCATATTTTGAACATGTTGACAAAGTTTTTCCAGACTCACCAACTCCAAAATCTCAAAAAAAATGTTGTGAAATGAGCTCTCATTAGCAAACCACCTCCGACGCCGCTTCCACCAAAGATTTCATTCATCGACGAGATGTCGTTTTTTATGCACAAATATATCGAGCGGATCGTCAATATTGTGGGGGGAGGTAATTGCGGTTACCGAGCCATTTCGGTTTAAATTGGTAATGAGAAGATAGTCATACACTTGCCTGACATCAACTTATCCAAGAGTTGAAAACACATAAAGAATCATACACACGATTGTACAGAAAAAAATGAAACTTTCGATGCAGTTTATGAGTCACTTGTTCCTTACTTGAGCGGTTCGGCATCGAAGGCAAAATGGATGCGCTTTCCTGAAATGGATCACCTAATATCATGTGTTTATAATAGAGTGTTTGTTAACCTAACACATTACGGTTTTTCGGAAACCTTTTTTCCGTTGCGCACTATCCCACCCTAAAATCCAAATGCTTGTATCATGTGTATTGGATGGCTTTCAAAATAAATTCATTTTGTTCAAGTTTACTTCAAACTGTGATGCCCTATACCACTTGTATCACCTAGGTCGACGGCTAATTAAACCATAAAAGTCAAGACGTAGCAGGACCATTTTATGGAAAGGATGCAAGAATTCGAGAGATTGAACAACATTGAAAAAAAAATCAAATGTACAAAAGTCCAAGGGGGTACCACCTATAGATTTAGCCGGCGACATATGTTTCAATTTGTTTTAATTTTTTGTTTAACCAGACAACTAATTGTATGTAATTGTGTCTCAATATAAATGAAGTGTTATATATTCACCTTTTGCTCATATTTTGTCTTTGTGCATTTTTTATCTTCCCCATGACAATATTTTTGTTTTTGTCAATGAAAAAATAGGTTATGTTTTAGTGTTCTATTATGTTACTAGTTCACGACAAGTTCTGGAGATGCATCTCCGGAACAATATAATAGGTTGTGGTTCCGGAGATATATCTCCGGAATCAATATGCCCCTTAATGAGTGTTCCAAATTGATCTATGGCTTTTATAAATTAAGATGCTCTAATGTTATATTTCACACAATCTAAAAATATCTCAAATGTCATAAATAAACATCAATTGGTATGTAGCAAATGTGTTCTTCTCCGGCTTTACATCGGCCGAATGTTCAAGTTCACCGACTTCACCTCCCTCGAAGATATCAAAGATGAAATGCACCATCTCCTACCTTACAGAAACAATCAAAAGATTGTGAAGCTCGAGTACCGTTTACCATCGATTGGCAATGGATGGCAGATTGAGTTCAGCAAATTTGAGCTCAAGATGCAAGAAGATGTAAAGGCTGTGTGGAATACGTATTTCTGTTTTGAAGAAAAAAATTCCGCTCGAGTTGGAAGCAACAGATTCAAGATCGATCGAAGATAGTCTGAAGATGTGCAAGCGTCCACCGGGATATTGAAATTTAATATTGCATTTTATGTTGAAATCATCATTGTAATGCTTATTTTATGTTATGAATGTTTATTTTAGAGTGAAGATCAACTTACTCCAACTCATAGTTTTTGAATTGTATCTAATATAATGGTTATGCTTTGGAGTAAGTTAAAAAAACTTACTCTTTGAGTAAATTGATTCTCACTCTAATTTTATGTTGAAATTATCATTATTAAAATTACTTTTCTATTGAAACAATATTGGTGTATCTCTAAAAATATAATTACGAAATTATTTCAAAAATATATCTCTAGAATAAATTAAATTTAAAAAAAAAAACATAATTTAAAATAGTCTTTTTATTAAATGTGTGTTGAGATACGTCAAAAATTATATTTTTAAAATTTATATTTTTAAAAATAGAGAGCATTTGTAAAAATCACATGATACATTAAAAATATCTTGGATGCAATAAAAAATTATCTTTAAGCTATATGTGGTGCAGCCATGCTTGTTTGTGGTGCAGAAATTGCTGTAGGGCACGGATTAGATTAAAATATAAAGGAGTCAAATCTGTTTTTTTTTTTTTTTTTTCCGTTGTGACTTAACGTAACCATTAAAGAATGCAACAGTTTGTGTATGATTATACGCTCAAAATTTGGTTCTCTCTCACTCTATAAACTATATGCTTAATTAATGCTTGTCTCATGTGCAAAGCAATGTGATAATCAAATGAAAACAATGAATGGTGGTTGCTATTTATGATGACATTCACCAGTCATTTGTTAGAAAGAAAATACAGAAAATGCTATTAGGATACCTCTTGAAGTTGATAGTATAATCCATTTTTTATATAATTAAATAGTTAAATTACGGTTTCTATTAATCCAACTCAATTAATAATTAAAATAACATCCTATCATATAAATGTAGAGGTGGAATTTTAGTTATTAAATTATTAAATAAAAAAGTAATCTTAATATTTAATGCATGTATATTTTATCTTTACTTAATATTTTAAGGTTGGGTTTAAAAAAATTGCATAGTTTTTATAACAAAGGAAGACCCATATCATATGGCCCTACATTACTTGGCTTTCAAGGCTCAAGGCCTCCTTGAGAATTTTTCTTGTTACTCCTACATTTTAAATTGATATCTCCTTAATTTTCGATAATACTTATATTTTTCTTGTCAAAATTTTATAAAACACATAAAAATAATTTTTATATAATAAAATTATGCGTATAAATAGAATCTGGAAAATGCAAAAAATTAGAAACTTACATAAATAAATCGTTCAGAAAGGAGACTTTCGATCTAGTACAATACTTGAACTTTAAATAAATTGCAGAAAAATAATAACAGCAATGAAATGAAAAATACAGTAACAAATAAACTAAATAACACACTTCAATGTGAAGTATTTATGTCTTACAAGAATAAATTTATGGCTTAAAGTAAGCTTGAATATCTTTTCTAGGGAATATATATAACTAATTCAGAACCTGAAAATGTATAAAATCGTGTAGCTATTGTCCAAAAAATGGATCTAATCGTGGAGGAGTTTGTTGAGAAAAAATCTAAAATTTTTGAAATTGGGTGTCATCATGCTGACGGGTCGTCCGTCATGTTTTTGAAACTTTCCTCCTTCACTCTGGCAGACGTTTTGCGCTAACGGTTGCAGCTGGTCACCCAATGACGAGTGTCATGGCTTGGCATAGTCCGTCATGTGAGCTCGAAACACTCAAAACTTCGTCGCTTTCGATGTTTTTTTGCTATTCCTTCACGTAGTGACAACTAATTGATTATTACTTGAAATATACACATAATACCAATATAAAACCTTAAAAATATATAAAATCGACACTAAAATATGTGCAAATTGAACTAATAAAGTGGTACATTTTATGTGTTATCAACTATCTTGATATGAGTTTTAGTTAGGTTCGTAGGTGGGTTGGTGACACCTTAGTTTATGACTTCTGGTGGAGGATAAGTGTGTTTGGAATCCTTCAAATGGTGGTGTTTTATTGGTGTACTTTGCTTATCACTTTCTTTTGACTTCTTCTAGGCACTCTTCCTTCGATTGCATTCAGGTTAATCCCCACATTTGGGGTAGTTAGGCACCATCTAAGGTGATTGTGTTCTCCAGGAAGCTTTGATATGTTTCTCTCTAGAGAGAACTTATTCAAGAGAAAGATGATTGTCGACTATAGTGTTACTTTGTCTTCCTTTTTGGTGTTTCCGCCGAGACGACATCTCACATATTTCTCCCTTGTGACTTGGTTAGTACAGTCTAGGGGTTGGTGGATAGTTCTTCTTAGGGACCCGAGCAATCTTTTTGAAAGTTTCATCTTTTTAAGTGGTAGAGTGAAATCTAAAAGGGAATTTTTATATGATTTGGCATGCAATAGTTTGGTTTATTTAGAGGGTTAAAAATGAGGTCTTGTTTTCTGGGTCTTCAACAAACGTGAAAAATATGGATGAGAAATATAATTTGTTGCTTGGAAATGGTTTTTGGGGAGATTAACCGATAACTCTTGCACCTTCATAAAATGGTTTTAAAATCTTATCTTTCAAATTAATCGAAAATCAATTGAGATTTATGGACAGGTTGTGAGTGTGGGTGTTCCTTTCTTTTTCCTAATAGTCTTTGATCCAGTGTTAATAATTCAATTGACTTGAGATTTAACTTGTTCTTCATTATGGTATAATTTTAAAGGTGAATTTCTTTGAAATTTGACTATGTGATTTTTGTTATTTTTTGTGCTTGTATTTATTTGTTTTCTTTAATTTCAATTTTTTGAAATTAAGTCTAGATTTTGATACTTCTAACGAATGTCATTTTTGCCCATCATAAATATCCCTCTTTACTCATTTTGATTATATACTTATTAGTGAGACCAACCGCTCCTATGTAAGCCATAAATATGCTGATGAGATTAACCAGATTATGCGGGCCACATGTTGATGTTTTGCAAAGGTTTTCATCTAACCCCATTAATTAATTAATTAATTAACAAAAAGACACACCTATTAATTACCTTTACCATCCTTCAAATTCCAACAAGAAAAAGAAACCTCAAAGCCTAACAAGTCTAGTCAAAAGGGTCTATAAAGTCCCCACCCCAACCTCAACAAACACACATACCAACACAAAAAACCAAGGACAAGGATCTCTTGCAGACCCTATACTGTCATGGCTCTGGCAGAAAGATCTATGGTTGTGTCTATAGTGTTAGTAACTATGCAGATTTCATTCTCATATGCAGCTGTTTACAAGGTTGGTGATTCTTCTGGCTGGACTACACTTGGTAACATTGACTACAAAAAATGGGCTGCCACCAAGAATTTCCAACTTGGTGACACTATTAGTAAGTCCTTTTAATCTATTTGCATGGTTTGTTTATTCAGTTTTGTTGCTTTTTCTTCATTCTTAGAATGTGTTCACATTTTCTGAAACTGGAAAAGTGGTTTCAAGGGATGAAGAGAAACATTATTTTACAATTCTATGATATACACTTTTTCTAGCATGACCCACCACTTTCATTTGCATTACCTTTTTGTTCTGTGGTGCTTTGCACAAGTTATAGTGCACACAAAGAAACAAAACAGCATGCAATGATTTTGTCTGGTGGTCTAAAATCATTAAGCATGGTTTTTACTTGATTATGATTATTCCTCCCTTAAGAATGAATTAACAAAATTTAACTCACTTATTTTTCAGTATTTGAATATAGTGCAAAATTCCACAATGTGATGAGAGTGACACATGCTATGTACAAGTCATGCAATGCATCATCACCTATTGCAACATTCACCACTGGAAATGATACCATAAAGATAACAAATCATGGTCACCACTTTTTCTTCTGTGGTGTACCTGGACATTGTCAAGCAGGACAGAAAGTTGATATTAATGTACTCAAAGTTTCTCCTGTGGCTTCTTCACCTACTCCATATTCTTCAGCTTTGGCTTCTCCTCCTACTGTTCCAGCTTCCAATGTACCTGGACCTTCTCCTAGCAATGCTGCACCATTGAAATTTGTTGCTTTAAAGATGATGATGGGTTTTTGGGCCATGCCATTTCTTGTTCATTTCTAAATATGCTTAATGAAAACATGTACTATTAGATGTATTATGTATTATTACTAAAGTGTATTTTTCCATTGCATGTAAGATTTTGTAAAAGATATGATGTATTGAATTTTAACCAAGTAAGCAATAGCTAAGTGAATTCAACTCCAAGAACACACCCTCTTTTATACATGGCACCCCACGTTATTTTATAATTCTAGAAGTGTTTATGTTTAAAATTGGAATCAAATTTTTGAAAAATAATTCAAATATTTCAAAACAATCAAAATTTTTGATAATGTATTCATAATTTTTTATATGAATTAATATTAGAATTTTCAAAAATTTCCAGTGCGTTTGAAATTCTACCGATATTTTTTAAAAATGTCCGTTATTCCGAAAATTTCAACTAATGTGAAATTTTCGGTAGTTCAATTTTATAAGATTTTCAACTGTTAGAATTTTGTAAACAAGTTTGGACGGCTGTGATTGTATCAGCCGTTTTGTGTGGTCCATAATGAATTCAAAGTTGTATAAATAAGGGTTATCTGTTATTGAGAAAAACATCTCAAAATGTCACTTCTTCAATTTTTTATTAAGGCAGAAGTGTATTTCAACAGGGTTGCACCTCCGGTAGAGTTTTGACTTCCAAATGGCACCACAACTCTCGCCGCCTTGACATCCACATTGAATGAATTGATTTCTGATACTGATAATAGAAAGGTTAAATTGATTTTTGATACTGATAATAGAAAGGTTAGAAAGACTGAGTTTCGTCGAGATTGAATTGATACTGATGAAAACGTAAAATACAACCTTATTGAGTTAAAGACCGGTGAAGATTTGACGAATATGTGGAGGTTATTTTTTCGTTGGTTAACTAAGGGGTCGATCAAGTTAGATGTGAAGATTTCAATATCTGTCGACAACATAATTAAGATACTGAAATGTCCTAAATCATCTAGTAGTGTTTAGATTTTCTTATTTATAATTGTTTTCTTAACTTATGTAATCGTCAGTCTAAGTTATATAACCGTTTGTCAAATATTAAGTTATGTTCATCATGCATCAATGAAAGTTTCAAAACGTTATCTAATAAAAAGTGTTGTGCAGATGTCTGATTAATGTTACACATAATATACAAATAATAATAATAATAATAATAATAATAATAATAATAATAATGTCTAAATAGGTCCCCCACAGGCTATGTGCGTTGCCCGCGATAATCTGGTAAAAACCTCACTATTTGAATTTACCAAACTCACGAGGTTATCCATAATAACAACAATCATATGTAGATGCTACTGGTCATCGACATCAGGTGGAGCTGGCAGCGACACGTCATCAGCAGGTACCCCAACATCGAAAGATCCAGCATCATCTGTATGTTCAACAAGTGGGATGATGCGAGGGTGTGATATAGTGAGGTACCACTCCAGATAACCATCCCCACACTGTGAATCGTGCAGAACCCTCACTGTGCTATCTATAATGGCACGAGCATAACGGATGATGTTACTCTGAAACCACTTGTCAATGTCCGCAGCTGACCATTCGGAACTGGTCGTGAGATGTCCTGGACATAACCATATTGTCGCAGACACCTCACAAGCAAGTGTCTAGCGACTAAGGTCTCCCACTGCATATAACTAAAAAATAAAAAAGACTCATTAAACTCGCGGTGGACTATGTGACCTGTGTAAGGTGTCTAGATGATATCATCTACAGTCAGCGCATCAAGCCTCCTCGCCCGTGGGGAATCTATAGAGGTGTGTTGCAATCTCCTGTTACAGATGGTGAGAAAATGCTCGTATATCCAACATTGATAAAAGAACACAGACACAACAAATAATAATTAAGAAATGTTAGTCGTAACAATTAAATAAGAACCAAACTACATAAAGAATTTCAAGTGTACCTGGAATAGACTCAAATAACTAGTAAGTTGTATGGTCTCAAAGGCATTCGCAACTCCAAGTGTTGCATATAGGATGGTCAATGCAGCGCACCCCTAAGTCCAACCGGTATCGTCAAGACTATTGAATAGACACATGTATTGAGCGAATATAAACATGAAACTAATCCGCAAATAGAATACATGCTCCTAGATGTAGCATGTACATCATTGCAGCAACCTCATACATTTGTGCCTCCACGGGCTCATGGTGCCTCTCCCGAAGGCATGACATCTGAAGGTGAACTCCTGTGTTAAAATCAAACACCTCTAGCACGACCTCCTTATTACTCCCAAATCTCGTACAGCCACCATACATCCAAGCTTTTTGCTAATAATAGGAGCGTTGGACAATCTACCGGCGATGGAGAGATGAAACAAGGAGGAGACATCATCTAGAGTTATATTCATCTCCCTAAATGGGAGATGAATGAAATATGTCTCTTTTTACCATCGCTCAACAAAAGCAGTCAGAAAGAAAGTGTCGAGCATGGTAAGTGAGTAGTCGGCAAATGAGAGCAGACCAAAATCATGTACAATTCTCCTGACATGCTCAAGCATAAGACTCTTAGGGATGTTCTTCGTCATCGACTCGTGCGATGTCACCTTCAACGAGAGACGGTCCTATAACAAACAAAGTTTAAAAAATTATCAATTAGTTTTCAACACATCATAGAACAATAATAAATAAATTAAACTTAAACATAAAATATATATCCTTCTCCTTGCCATTATTGTTATGCCACATCGGTCAACGGGTCCTCCCAAGAACCATCCATCAGTGTGTATAGACGGCTCCGTCGAAGCAAGAGTCGTAACCTCTGTATCAATAATAGCAGTAAGGGCTGGATCTGTGGCAGCCACCTCATCACTAACAGGGGCATTTGTCTCGGCCACATCATCAACAACAGGTGTCACATTTGTCTCGACCGCTGGGTCATTAACAATCTGACCCTCCTCTTGAGCATGAACAACCTCAACATCATCTCTGAACTACGCGTCTAATCTCACCGCTCGACGTCGGATGCTATGGAGTGTGCGGAACTGTCCCTACTCAACCAACCGTTTTCAGTGTGAATTGGTTGAAACTACTCGTCCAACCCGTAGTTGGGAGGACTTAGCCTCAACAGTCCCAACCTGAATTGCCGCTTTATCTACAGTTCAACTTGCAATGGTGTCGTCCTTTCCACTACTGGACTTCACTATAAAATGAAAAAACACAAAATCAATTAATTATCACCAGTTTTAAAATTCCTTACATATTATCAGAAATTTTAAAATTTTCAAAAAAAAAATCAAACTTTTTAAACTACTGAAAATTCTAAAATTTTCAATACAACGTTAAAAAAAAAATTAGAAATTTTGAAATTTCCGAAAAAAATGCATATAAAAATACCAAAAATTTCTAAAATTCCTAAGAAAAATCTAAAGGATTGTTCAAGAAATTTTAAAATTCTCGATAAAAAACTTACTTTTTTTCAAGATTTCCAATAAAAGTTTGAAATTTGCAATATCACTCTGGAGGTATTGTAATTTATGCAAATTCTAAGTGGATTTTGAAAAATGATTGAAAATTTTGCAAGATTAATATAGTTAAGTCATTAAATTTGGGGTGGTAGGTTAAATGCTCCAACTACAAGTTAGTGAAGAATTTCAACAACCCAATTACATGAATTCAACAACAAAAATTCTGAGTCAAAATAAGCCACATTGGCTGATCAGTGAAAATAATATTTATTGAGAATCAGTATTGAAAACATCATTAAGTGTAATTGATTCTTAAGCACTATGAATGAAAATCTAGTCCTACCATAGTTCTTAATAAACAACTACAACACAATACAGCAAGAAATTTCAGGATCCTTTCAATGGTATGTTTCTGAGGCAGGAGCCATAATGATTAAAGTTTATGATGAGTGCTCTGGACATATGTCTTTATTTGTCCTTTTTTTCTTTTTCTTTTGTTTGTACAAATATGTCCAACACTTGTGGTGCAGTGTGGAAGACCTCTCAATCTTACAAGGGTTTCAGAGAAGGATCAGATATGGAGATCTCATTATACATATCAGATATCGCTTTGGCAAAGTATTCCTTCGCTTGAGGCCTCTTAATCTGAAAATCAAATGCACATTAAAACATACTTTTGATGCCACACCACATGTTAAAATGATAAATACATTAGTGTAAGGACTTTATGCTTGCCTTCATTGTCGGAGTCAGCAGACCGTTTTCCATCGCAAATGGCTCAGCCACCAAAGTGACCGCTCTTGCAAATTCAAAACCTCTAAGCTACAGGGCATCAAATAAAGATACAGATAATGTTCAATATATTTACTGAAGACAGTGATTTACTAGGTAGGGGTAAGCATAAAATGAATAACTTACTTGAGCCTCACTTCCAACGGCATTCATCTCAGCCAAAACAGCCGCCTTTGTTTTTGGATTATTGCAAAGTTGTGTTAAATTATTATACTGTGCATAACAGAGAGAACATCAGTTACTATAGCATATAGCTTTCATAAATCTAACAGCAATCACAGCAAAATAAAATGACTAGAGTAAATTCCATAAACTTCCTTTAAACTTTGACAAGAAAATAATAACTCAATGCATGGCTTCGAGATATATCAATTGTTCTACTGGCAGTTAGTACAGTATCTAATGAGCCAATGGATATGAATAATAAGATTTAAACAATCAAAGAGCTTATAATACCACTATGCCTTCCGATGCAGCCCATGCTTTCATGACATCAGGATCCACGGAGACAATAGCTACCAAAGAAGAATTAAAGCTGTCACCTATAAAAGGTAAAAGAAGCATCAGCAAGCTAGAAATGGATTAAGAAAGAGTCAGAACACACAGCACGTTAAACATGTAAGCATTATTCCATTCCTTACCATATATAAAGCACTGTGCCACAAAATTGCATTTGACATATACATTTTCTATCTTCTCTGGAGCAATGTACTCGCCTTGTGCCAACTTAAAGATATTCTTCTTCCTACAATGAAATGAAAATTTTAGGCTTCCGTGTTTAAAAACTTTAGCCATTCTTGTAATAAGTGTGCTGAGAAAATAAACAGGAAGGTTGAGGTCATGTTTCTAGCTCGTCTTGCTGAAGTTGAATATATAAAAGTTAAATGGAAGCAGTACGCAGTAACAAGTTAACAATACCACTGACTGAACAAAGCACCAATGGAAGATAGAAAATTCACTGTAAAGTGTCGTTAAAGTTTGCTCATTGAAATTATCACACTTGCATCAGATGAATCAAACAGAGATAGTAAAAATTAATGATGGATGGTACACTAAGAAGCCATATTTATTGCTAAATAATACGGACTATTAATAAGATGGTGATACACTGATATCTCACCTATCAATGATTTTGAGTCGACCACCTGGTATCCATGTCCCAATATCTCCGGTATGCAGCCATCCCTCTTCATCAATGACTTCTCTCCTGGTCAATTTAATGAAAGTCATGAACATTGTAAATACGTCATGGTAAATCAAATTAGTAAGAACCATAGAACAGGCGAAGTGGTTACGTTTGAACTTCATCTTTGTAATATCCTTGAAAAATAATGGGACCCCTGATGCAAATTTCACCACGGGGGTTTGGCTGATCATCAGATGTATAGTTCATTTCCGGAACATCTACAAGTTTTATCTCTGGAAAAAAAACATATAAATCTCTTGGTACTGGGAGTTACAAGCTACAGATAAAATAAACTATATAAAATCTCGTCTTGTACATTCTTTTAAAATTAGGAGATGACAGATACAATATATGTTCAAAATCCTTTTTCTTTTCATTCTCAACTATCAGTCAGTGATAATTCAAGTCCTTTGAATAACAAAAGTAACATCTCACTAAGTTAGTAACCATATTAAAAAAAATGTTACAGAAGCATAACCTGACAATTAAAATGCAAAAAGTTATGAGATGTAAACTTTATACTGCTCACCACAGCATGGACTTGGAGAGCCAACGTGACCACTAAGTCTGTCACCGTCATCAATGCAGCTTATAGTACAAGTAGTCTCAGTCATTCCATACCCTTCGGTCACTCTCCCACCAAAGCAACTATGAAATCAATGTCACCCATCATTTGTTCACGATAAAAGTTATTAAATATAATAAGAAAGGGACATTCTCTTTCGTAATGTATACACCAATAATAAGCAAAACTTACATTTTTAAAAATTCCATAACATCAGGAGATAACGGTGAGGCACCTGATACCATAAGACGAACTCGCCCTCCAAGTTTTTCCTTTATCTTGTTGAAAACTAATCTGTCCCACATCGGAGATGGGTTCTTTCCTAAATTAAATGAAAATGTGAATGTTGAGAGTAAGTTGATTTTTAAATGATAAAAGATACTATAGTGGACAGACACGCAAACTAGAGATGTTTACTTCTTTTTGCTAAGTTTATGATCAAGAAAGTCCTCCCTGTATTACTAACTATAAGACCCATTTTTCATATCTGTTGTCTCTATATATAAGACATTTTTCAAACTTTCACATGCATCAATCATTTCTTCGCAAAAATTCCCATGTTAAATTTATAAATGGAAAACATAAATTGCTTTCTCTCTCTTAATACATCAATAATTGACTAGCAAAAGAAAACTTTCAAAAAAATAATAATCAACTAAGACATAATAATACTCTCAATTGATCCAAGTACTAACTGTTGGTTGAGAAGGAAAGTAAAATTTGTCTGGTTATAATACTCTCAATTTCTCAATTGATCCAAGTACTAACTGTTGGTTGAGAAGGAAAGTAAAATTTGTCTGGTTATTTACCATGATGATAATTTGATTAATATATAAGATTAAGATCAGAGTAAATTAGACTTCGTTCCAAAAATATATATAACTCTTCTTGATTCATTTAGTGAATACTTCAAAAAATAATCTCCGAAAATGGACAAGTTTCACAAACAAGATATGAGTTATATATGTGTACAAACTCTTGTAAAAGATACAACGAAATATTCAAATTTCAATAGTACTTCTTGTTGATCTGATAAATATTATTAACATCTGAAAAGAATAAATCTTTCTAACTACAAAACAAGTTTAGCAGCAGATTATTTCCATATGTACATTATTGTGAAGCTCAAACCAGATATTATTTTTGCCATGTGTGTCATCCAAAGAGCATAAACTTCAAGCTATTTAGAACATAATACACAAGTTTTGGGAAACGAATATGATACTATAGAACTATTGCTGAAAATGAGATTCAACTACCATCATCATCTACATGAAATAAAGCCATATAAAAGGTAATTCGGCCATCTTAACTTAGATAAACACGGAATAACCACCACAACAAATATCATTAGGATCAATATTTAGAGCACTACAAAGATCAGTAAAATTTACGCAATATAATGAATAAATCAAGCAAGATAATTGTGCAAATATAGGCTGCGCAAAAGATATCTCATAGTATATTTTTACCGTGCAATAATGCCTGCTTTTTAGCATTGTAGGCAACATTGAATATCCTCTCCTTTAGACCACCAGATGTTTTAACAGCATTAATAATACTGCAGACCAAAAATCAATCAAATAGCACAATTAACAAACAAGAAGCAAAAGAACATTTCTAAAAATTGCAGTGTAAATGAATGATTGTTCTACCCAGCATATATTCTGTTATATAGACGAGGAACACTACAGAAGATAGTAGGCCTTAGAACTGCAAGGTCGTCTAATAATTTCATATTATCCTGTATGCAAAGGGTAAAAAGAAAACGTCAGTTTTAACTGAAAACTTAACAGGATATAGTGAAGCAAAATCCAGTGACAAAATCAATACTACTGCATCACACTTTTTTCAGTATGCTTTATAAGCAAAAGTTGACTACACTATGTATATTAAGAATGATAGTTAATCACATAATCTCATTTAAAAATCATTTCCATTACTTGAATTACCCTTCAAGATAGTAGTAATAAATCAGTTCATTGGAAAAAAGTCAAACTAAATCAGGGACATTTTTTTGGACATATCATTAAATAGGCCAAAAAGTGTAATTTTACTTATAGTCCAAAATATATTAGCTATATTTTTCATATAAATCATTCTGCAGGAAGTATAAGCCGTAAGGTAGTACCTTGGCTTCGAAAGTCAACATAAAAAAAAGGTATCTATCATTTAGAAATTTTATGTAGGAGATAGCTCATTCAGAGTTAATAGATATTTGGGAAATGAAATGAAGAGAGAAGCTTAATTTGTTTAAGACACACCCCCTGGAAGAATCCCACCGCAATGCCAAAATATACTGTCATGACTTGATTTGTTCGCTCATAAATGTGTGCCAAAGGAAGATAGGATATATAACTGAAAATCAAAGGAAACTAAGGTAAAGACGGTAGAATAAACTATCATGAACAAAAAATGGCAGAAAATATTGTGTGCAACAAAAAAGAACTTACACATCATTTGGGTTGAATTTTTCACTCAAAGAGGTCCCAGCAACATTTGCAATGAAGTTTTGATGGGTCAAGACGGCACCCTGACCAGAATATTTTGAGTAGCAAGATGAATAAGAAATGATTTATATGACTACTATTAAGCAAAGAAACTATTTTGATGAAATAATATACCACCGAGAAAAGTAAACTGTAATTTTATATGAACCTCCGTACCTTTGGAGTTCCAGTTGTGCCACTCGTATAGCAAATGGTTGCAATATCATCAGGCTTTGGGGGGCGAAAGGGCTGAAGATTGCTGCGCCCCTATATCCAAATCACACAAACAATGAGGTAACAAATTTATCAAATAGCAGAAGATCAAATCAACTTCAAATTTGCAACACCATTTATAAAAAAAGAAACCTAAAACCGATAGACCGCAACAGATAGATTAGATAAAGGAGCCCTACCAATGTAACACTTCCTATAATCCAAGGAAGCATGTAAACTAATACTACATAATTCAACATAATCGAATATGAACACACAGCGTAACATTCTTTGACTGAGACAATTATATTACCTGACTAATAAGCTTTGTATATGAAATAATTTGAACTCCATCTGATGATGGAAGTGATGGAATTTGATCATCTATACCTCCAACTACCTGAATACAAAAAATCATTATGGACTTGCTTTGTGAAAGAACATTTAATTACAAATATAAGCCAAGAATCCACACATACCACAATAAGACGCACGGTTGGAATTTCAGACAAGTAGCTCAGCAACTGCAATGTAACATGACATAATACATAAGATTTGTAAAAGAACATTGAGAGGGCAATATATGTAACGCAAGTAAAAAAAAAGGGGATAGAAACAGGAGTCAATTTAATTCATATTTCATTAGAGGATAACCAATTGGTTGATGCTGGTAAAAATGAGGAGTAAAAACTCTCCTTTTATCCCATAGAATATATGTTATCGCCCTATTATTTAGCAATTTTGTATATTATGTAACAAATCCTTATATCAAATATTTACTTATAGGCTTTAACTTAAATACCAGAACTTAAATGCTAAAGCAAATAGGAGTTTGGGATAAAAACTCTTATAGCTCCCATGTTACAGATAATAGTGACTGCTAACTAGTGAGAAAGGTCATGGAAAAAGCACATCTTTTATTTAGCAAACCTGATCCGTCTACAGAAGTTAATCAACTTAATCTATTACATTTAAAGTCAAAATGACATTCTTTTTCATAATGTTAATTAATGTTGTTGTTGTTGTCATTGTTGTATGTAACTAATTTCTTTTGAATAAAATACTTATCGCATTCAATTGGGCAAAAGTAAAAGTCATGACCTGCTTAATTAATAAGGACAATATTGAATTATAGAAGAAATGGAGTTTATTGATCTAAAAGAACGGTCACAATGCTTGCATTTGAGAGACCTAGTGCTCCCCCACTCCAATTTCCTTAGAAACCAAATATATCTTCCTAAAGGCCTTTCAATTACTTATAACATATGCTCTCTGTGAAACTGTCTCAGTAACTAACTCCCTAATTAAATAATCTACCTAACTAATAGATTTATTATTGATATCCACCTACCGATTCCTGTTAAATTCCCCATCTGACTGTTTCCATTCCTTAACTCGTCTAATTTTGTTTGCCAATAAATCAAATAGAAATTTTAAAATATGTAAATTTCAGAATTAACAATCCTATTAAGAAAGGGGGGAACTGATACTCAATTTTATGTGAGTAAAGAAAAATTTAGAGAAACCCATCTAATTATTTTCATGTCACTCAAGTATCAACTTTGCAAATCTTGATTCAGTATCTCTTCTGCAAAAGGAGTGCACTCACATTAAAAAGCTTTGTGGTTATAATTATCATTTTTTCTGAGCAAATTCTTGAAGAGTGGCTGACGTAATGTAAAGCAGTATGCTTGATAGAATAAGGTAAATATAATGCTCAATTTTTTTTTCATTTTCTTCATCACTGGCTCATTGCATCAGTAATTTATTGTCATCGATATTAACGATCTTTATTGGTTGTTTGTGCAATCAAGAACATGTGGCTTGGATTTAGGTTTAGAATGTATATTGAGATCCTATTATCCATAAACATGGTCCATAAGCTAATGAACCCTAAACCTAAGACTCATGAATAGTATTCACCTCGGGGAATGTATCAAGCTCAAACTAAGTCATCAAAAAGATGATGAATGCTTCTATAGTACTCAATTTGAAGGTAACAGATGATACATGCAACACAAAGTTTAACTTGAATCTCATATATATGTACTTACTGAATTTAATGTCTGAGACACGCAAAATATAACTTGTACAAGAGCATGATTAACAACAAATTTGACAGCATCAGGACCTACAGAGCAAACAATTTCTTGCTGTTAATTTAACATGTTAGGCAGCTAGCATAAATACGAAAGAGAGTTCCCTGATAAAATACAGGTAGCATACCAAGAGTATCATATAAAGGCACTGATATATATGAATATGCAGAGCAAGCATGATCAACAATGAGCCACTCAGGTCTGTTAATAAAATACAATCCAATGCCAGAGCCCTAGAAAAACGCACATAGATTAATGGTTAAGTGATGCCATGTGAAAAATCAAATAATAATAATAATAGCAACCATGTAACTGTGATCTAGCACTCACCTTTGGGATTCCATGATTAACCAAACCAGAACCTATTGCCGCCCGAGCAGTACCTGCTTCTCCATATGTCATCCACTTGTACCTTAGAATTGCAAGATGAATGGAAATAATGAGAATATGTAAAAGAAATCTGAGTGAAAAAAACAAAGATAGAACTGAAAGCTTATTAGAGCTGCTTACTCCCCAACTGTTCCATCGACGCGGACACGGGTTCCCAGATATTTGTAGTCCCGATAAGTGTCAACTGAGCGCCTGTTATTGCATTAACAAAATCCGTATCAATTTCTAAATCATGAAATATAATTTGTTAGTGAAATTATGCTTATTAAGACACATTAACCTCGTGAAGTTTAAATAAAGTTTTGAAGAGAAAAAGGAGTAATGCTCACACAAAATTATCATGTAGTGTGCCAATATCAGGATTATCAGAGAACCTGTCAATCAGCTTCAGAGGAGAACGTGCTGATCTGCCAAAAGAAATTAAGTAGGATTACACACTTGGCCCTAGAAATATGTATAACAAGTCAGATCAGGAACATGGAAGAGTTATACCTGTACACGTTCCACTTTCCTGTCCGCAGTTTCTCAGGGAGTACAACACTATACCCTTGCTCTGTTCAGGAGTAAAGATCAAAACTAAATATATAAATACAACTGGCAAAGAAAGTAATTGCAGGAATGAAATAATGTAATAACAACTATAGCTGTAAAGACCTATTTGTGGATAAGAAAATTTCATCGGTTGTGAGAAAGGTTCAACAAATGTCTTTGTGAATATAATCTTTTGAAGTAATGTGATCAAGAGTTAATTGTTTTAAAATTGGACTGTGCATTGACCCAGTGAAGTACTGGTTCACGGTTTAATGGTTGAACTGTGATCAAACCAGTTATAAGTGAATTATATTTTTAATATTATATAATATATATTATTAAGTAATAAGCCAACATGAAATACTGAAAAATTAAGACAAATTAAATTTTAAATTGATATAAAACGATCTATTCTGTTTTGCAAGGTAAAAATCAATAATAGAAAGTAAGCTAAATGAATCTTTATATTTTATCATTGGACCTTTGATTTGCTAAAAGAGTTTATTCTTGAAATACAAAATATATAATAGACAACTGACAATTTCACACTGGTTCTAAGCCCCCAGTTTTAACCAACAAGACCAATTCTATACCGGTTCTCGTCAGTTTAGAAATCCATCTGTTTATTCAGTTAAGAGAACCAAACAGGCAAACACCTTACTGGTTCCTGCTTAGTCCCAATTGGCAATCCGGTTTTCAAAACGATGTCAACCGTGGTTGTAAAATTAAGCCAGTTTGGCATTTCTACACTCATTTCTTTAAATTAAAAATTAATGAGCATTGTAGTTCTAAACTCGTTCCCTAATTAGTTTTCAAATTTCATAGGATATTATCACAGTTAATCACTAACAATTACTACTAACTAACAATTTGTGATGCGATTGGCTTAGATTACCCAACTTGTGTAAAGCATTTTTATCATAAGTATAGCTATATTAATACAATAAGCTGCTTTTGTTATCAAAAACATGTTTAAGGAGTAGAAAAGCTCAAAATAAGTTAGACCACACATACACTGGGGGGAACGGAATATGCACCATTCAGGTTTGCCTAATTCTGAGTGTAGTAGAGCATTTATGAAAAAAAAAAATTTTAGCTTTTATGGCCCCCATTTTTGTAAAATTAATTTTAGCTTTATAAAAAAAAACATTTATGAAAACAAAGCGCACCCCATTCTATCTCTCCCTTCAAAAAAATGAAACTGCTTCCCAAATGCACTAATCAATGAAAATAAATAGACTTAACTATTATTAATAAGTTCCTCTATCACAGTTTAAAAAAATGAGACAAACTGAATATTCCTTCTTTTTGCTAAACTCAAAGCTGAACCTTTAAGGGATTTTGAAAATCCATAGTGCCACTGCGTTGACTTATCCACAAAAGAAGAAAAAAACTGTATACAGCAATAAACTAACCCATTAATTAGCCATTTATTAGTACTTTTTTCATCTTTGCATCAAATTAAAATACACGAAAATCATTTTCATCAACAAAACATTAAAAAAAGAGCATCATAATTATCATCACTAATTCATCATGATTATCACTAATTCATCATGATTATCACTAATCCATCATGATCCACAAATTTTCCAAGAAAGTGAAAGAAGTGCAATCGGAGCTTAAACGAATACGATATAAGGAAAGAGAAGGAGTACCGGAGAAGAACTCGCCGGCGGTGGGATTAGATTGAACATCGGAAGGAGAGTGATCGGCGGCGGTGATGAGGTGTGCGTTGATGGCTTTGAGACGACGTTGCGCGGTAGGTGAGGGATCCATGTGACGATACAAAACGACAAATTTAGATGCCGTTTACTGACTTGTTATGAATGAGGAAGCAATAAGAACGCAATGAAATGGAAGAGAAGAAAGAGAGATAATAGAGGAAAGTTAGAAGAAGAAGGTTAATAATGTGTGTGATAATTATCCCAAAATAACAAAATATTATATAACTATTTCATCATCCATTTGTCCCCATCATTTGTCCTCTTCTCAAAATGAATTTATTATTCATTTAAAGAGAAATAATTGTACTTAAATTCATATTTTTAAAAATTTCAATAAGAAAAAAAGATAAAATTTTAAATTTAATTTATTTTTTAATTAGTTGTTTGTAAAATTATTTAGTATCTCTGTATCAATCTAAAAAAATTTATGCTTTCAAGTATTTTAATTCAAGTATTATATAACTTAAAAAACTTTAATCAACTATATAAAGTACTGGTAAATATTTTATGATTTACGAATATCTATTTATAGATATGTAGTAAATTCTAATTATAATTCTTTATTTAGATATCATTAATTGATTTAATTTAGTTTCTTATTTAGAATTATTTTTTTTAATTAAATTGTTAGTTATTAGTTATTCATTTCAACTATTGTAAAATTGAAAAATTAAGTTATTAATGAGATTTATTGTAGTGTAATGTTGCTCGTTAAACCTTTTATTGAAGCTCATTATTATTTTAGATATGACTAATAAATTATTTTACCAGTTAATTTTAGTATTTGTTTTATTGTAAAAATATTTTCAATTTAAATATCAAATAAATTATATTTTTAAAATATTTATTAAAATAACCATGTTTTAGACCGTCGAAGGCGTCATTTGAAATGGCGTCTGTCCTAATTTTTGCACTCGTGTGCCATTTAATTTGGAGTGTCCATGTAACATAAACCATATGAAATGGCGCCACCATCCAGGCTCAATACTCACGCGTCATTTCATATGGCGCATCTTCTTGCCCTATTTTTTTTTCTTTTTTTTGTAATAATGTGTGTATCCGTCATTTTATATGGCTACTACATTATCCCATCATTATAAATACAAACATAGCACCACCTCCTCTTCATTTCTCGCAATTCTTATACTTCCATTTTTTTTTATAATCTCCTTCCATTTTCTTTTAAAAATTGCTTCATCTTCTTCCTCTTCATATCTTTATAAGGTTCCCAACTTCAGGAGAGAAATGTCGATTTAATTTTTTCGGCAGTAAAACCTCCGATGAAGATCCTCCTCTTGAATACACTGACGTTCGAACATCTTAACAGGAGTCTGAACTGTTGGTTAGATGGAAACATTCCAGGGGGTGAAAAGATCAGAAGAATTGAAATGTTTGTTATCATGTTCAACCAAAATGGAGAAGTTTGTTTCTGGGAGAATGTTACGACTGACAAAAATGTTTAGATGTTGATGTATAATTCTCAGGAAATTGTCTTGATGGTTGTAATCGCATAGTTATGTTGTATTCGTTTGTTTTGTTGTTTAATTGTTTAAATTATTGTTACTTGATGTTTTTAAATTATTGTTATTGAATGTTATGATATTTATGAAATGAAAGTGATTGTTGATATAAAGAGAAACAGTTACATTTAAAATTAAGTTGTTGAGCTTGGTCTAACATTGGGATATTTTGTACGATTGTGCCTAGGCTGACGACATGAACTACATAACCTCATCATTTTGTACATCGCATCCATTTCCGTTCAAATTCGCGTGCTATTAGGGCGACCTTTTTTCTTTCTTCGCGTGATTTCATTGTGTCGGGTTATTTCCCCTTCATATGCAGGCCAATAGTCCTCTTTTTCTACCACCCGGAAGCTAGTGTTGTAGACATTGCATAGATTTATGACTTTGTAAACAACGGACAGTATATGTACTGGTGTGTGATCATGTATTGTGGTGTTTGAGTCATACGTGCAATATGTTAGTGTACTGGTATTTGATAGAATAATGGTGCAATAAAATTTTAGCTTCATGCGTATTAATAGAATTCTAGTTTCATGCAATAGAATTTTATATATATTATTGTTTAGACTATACATGCATTAGTCTTGTCTCAATTATACATGCATGCCCGTTCAGACTATACATGCATTTGTCTTGTCTCAATTATATCTTATAAACTTTTTAACTTTTTATGCCTACTAAGACCCTATTTTTGTCTTCTTAATGCATGTTTTCCTACTAAAACCTTATTCTTGTCTTCATATGGCAGCCATTCCACGAATCTTCACTTTATGTCTTGTGTTCATTTTGTTTTTTAATGACATGCCTTACAAGATTCTCTTGCAAGATGCCTTACACCTTACACGATTCTCTTATCTTCTGCATGCATGTAAGATGCCTTACACCTTACATGATTCCCCTACAACAATCTTTTATAACAAGATTCCTCCATTAAAGAAGGCGTCATACCAAATGGAAAATCCATTGGAAGAAACACATATGCGCCATATTAAATGGTGTATGCTTTATCATACATGCATATGCACTATTTCATATGGCATATGTATTCACATTGCCATGCAAAAAACAATTCACGTGAACAAGTTTTAATTCTTCTATAAATAGTCATGTCTTTCACATAACTTTCATCAACATATGTGCATCTCTCAATATTCTTAATCTACCCACATTCTTAATCTCTCAACACTCAATCTTTCAACTTTCATTAAAAATGTCTCTTTACTATGGGCGATGAACATATAGGAACAATTGACAATATTGCAGCATTTGTAAGTGTCGCACCTCGAAAAATCACGGAGACATTTCGAACATACGACCCTCGCGCGAAAGGCGCGGAAATTGCGGTTCGACAGAGTCGCCACCGAACTTTATTTTTCCCGAAATAAACGGGAGAGGAAAATATCGAGAAAACCTCTTAAAACGAAAGGATAGGAACAGGGCTGTCGCAACCAAGTTCCGGGTTCGGGAGTCGGTTACGTGAGGGGAAGGTATTAGCACCCCTCACGTCCGTCGTACTCGACGGGAACCTCTTAAGGTAATGCGGGGAGTGTTGTTTAGGTTTACTGGTTTTCTTCTCGATGATAAAGGTAGAATTGGTAGGGTTAAAGGGTTAAAGACGCGAAAGAGAGATGGGTGGTTAGAAGATAGGGTGCTCGCCAAGGATTGGGGCCCTTGTGCCTACGTATGCTCATTCGGACGAGAATGAGAAATCAGAGCGTCGTAGTTCGACTACGGGAAAAGGTGGGGGGAAAACGGAAGATGGATAGAAGTGTGCTCGCCAAGATCATCGCGATCTTGTGCCTACGTATCTTATATTCAAGAATGAATAAAGAATCAGAGCGTCCGTAGTTCGTGGAGACGACCACGAAAAGATGAGGTTTGAATTGGTTTGACGTTGAGTTGGGAGACGAAAGAGTGATTGACATACAACCTAAGGGCGTGCCTCAAGAGCTTGTCACTCAAGAATTCAAGGAATGCGAGATCCCAAGAACTCAGTTCTTTCGGAAATTGAGTCGAATAAGTTGAAGATAAGAGCTGGATGTTTTGAAATCGAAAGAATGAACTAATAACAATTCGGGGGCGTGCCCAAGAGTTACTCATTCAAATATTCAAAGAATGCTAGATTCTAAGAATATCTCTCTTTCGTAAGTTTAAAAAAATGTGTTTGTGGAAGGATCGAATCGAAGAATGGCATGCGAGGCCAAAAGGGAATTGTTTTGAACTGGCTCGACGACGTGTCGAAGATTTGATTGAGGATGGAACCGACTTGACGACGTGTCAAGGGTTAAGGTTGTGAGAAACGATATTAGTCCCTGAGGGTGCTCCTAATATCGAGACCACGAGGAATTGTGAATGAGATGGGTTGCGAATGCGGACGATCATTCGACTTAGGAGAATGTTGGAAAATGATTGAGTTTGAAAAAGTCGAAAGGTTGAGTGAATAACAACCCAAAGGGCGTGCTTCGAGAGCTATTCACTCGAAAATTCAGGGAATGCTAGACTCCAAGAATCTCCTTCTTTCGAAGTTTGGATCGGAAAGAAAATAGTTTGGAAAATGATTTGAAGTGAAACGGGGTATGAAAATAGTTTAAGGTACGAGATGTGAGGGCGTGAGATTGGATTTAAAAAATGAGAAAAATGACAATTATTTGATAAATGAGACGCGGGCCTCACAACCAATTAATTGGGGTATTATCGAAATGCTAGATCTCGACGACACCTTTTTCATTTGGAGAATGCTCAAAGGAAATATCACAAAGAATGCCAAATTCTCATGACATTTCTTTGTTAGAAAAATGTAATTTTTGAAAATGGGAGGTTGAATAATACACTACTTAAGGTGTACACCTTAGTAATGACTATCCAAAAAATTCAAGAAGTGCTAGACTTCAAGAACTTAGTTTCTCACGATTTGATTAGAAAATAATTTGAATGAAGATTTAGAAAAATTATTATTTTTTGAGGATGGTTTTGATTTAATTTAAGAAATATTGTTTGAATAAACAATGAATATATTACACAGAGTGCTAGACTCCTATAATATATTTTTGTTCAAATAATTAAGAGCGCAACGAAAAACGAACAATATTATCCAAGGCGTACGCCCCGATAATAATTACTCAAAAAACCCAAGAGGTGCTAGACCTTAAGAGTTTAGTTTTCGTGATTTAATTAAAGAAATTTTGATATTAAACATTATGGTTAGATTATGTAATCCAAATTGCAATGAAGACTAATCTTCTATTTAGTCATTACTTAGAAAATTAAAATTTGAATTAATAAAATTGAAGTAGTCAAAAAAAAAGAAATAAAATAAAATAATACATTTCAAATATCTTTTGCAATTAAAAAGCTAGCAGTAACTTGTATGACATTGTTTGAAGGTTACTCACAGAATTGCCATCAACATCAACATATCTTCGAAGCGTGATAAAAAAAATGCCAAACGGATCGTTTCAAATGTTCATCGCGAGAAAAACAATTCTAACATGAGCGGCAGCAATGAACGTGTATCAATCAATATCAC